TGATGATGATGATGATGATGATGATGATGGTGATGGTGATGGTCATGGTGATGTTGATGGTGATGGTGATGGTGATGGTGATGGTGATGGTGATGGCGATGACGATGGTGATGGTGATGATGATGATGATGATGATGATGATGGTGATGATGATGAGGCTGGTGATGATGATGATAAGGATGGTGATGGTGATGATGATGATGGTTGTGATGGTTGCGATGGTTGTGATGGTGATAGTGATGGTGATGGTGATGGTGATGGTGATGGTGCTGATAATGATGATGAAGAGGAGGAGGACGATGATGATGAACATCGTTCTGATGATGAGGATGATGATGACGAGGAGGGGGAGGAGGATAGACATAAGTTGAGGAGGAGCAGGTGAGGAGGAGGATTCTAGTGGACTGGGGTGTGACGAACATGTTGATGGTTATGACGACTATCTGGGTGATGGTGTTGGTGGTGATGTTGTTAATGGAGGAGAAAGAGAAGGAGGAGAAGGAGGAGGAGGAGGAGGAGACAAATGGCGGGCCGTCTGGAGGCTGTCTTAGGCTATTGTGGGGCCGTCTTTCCTGGGCTTCCTTGGGGCCCTCCTGGACCGTCGTCGGGCTCTCTGAGGCATTCTTGGGGCCCTGGACCGGCTGGGGGGCAGTCTTGTAACTGTTTTGGGCTTTCCAGAGGCCGTTTGGGAGCCTTCTCGGGCTGTCCTGAGGCCGTCTTGGTGGATCCTTAAGCAAGTTCGGGGCCCTCTTGGGCCATCTCAGGGCTATTCTGGAGTCATCCAGGGCCGTCTGGAGCTGCAGGAAAAAAGGTGAAGACACGCAAATCCTCCCAAGTCAACAAGGAGACATCTGATCCGGGTTTTTCGGGCCCTACCAGGGGTGCTCTTGTGGCAGTCTTTGAGCCATCTTGGGCCATCTCTCCTGTTCCTTGGCATGTTCCCACGTCTCCACGTGCCAGCGGGCCACGGTGGCGGATTGGGACTCTCTGGGGTGCCTCTTGGGCACTCCTGCGGCCATCTTGGGCTGGGAAGGCGGGCAGGCCACACGTTCAAAGTCGTTCCATGGTCTCAGTTGCCTGCGGCTTCCACATGAGCTTCTTGGCGCCTGTGTTGGGGCATCCTGGGTCGTCTGGGGAGACTCTGGGTCGTCTGGGTGGCCCCCCTGGCCCTCCTGGGCCGACAGCGCAGCATGTATATATATATATATATACACACATACACACACATATATATATACATACATCCATACATACATACATACATATATAAATATATTCACATGCATATATACACACCCATTGATACGTTTGCACTTCCCGGGGAACCACCACCACCACCGAAATCGGACTTCCCGAATCCCGGGCCCCAGGGACCTTCTGGACCCCCTGGATCTGTAGCCCCAGGGACCCAGTGGACGCCCGACGCCCTTGCCGGAGGCCCCCCAGGCGTTTCAGAGCTCCTGGAAGCCTTTGCTGGGCCTCGGCAACGGGCCCAAACCGGTCAGGAGGGCGGCCGAACGCCCCCCCGAGGGCCCTGCCTCCCCAGACACCCACCAGACGCCCGAAGACGACACAAAGAAGACCCCCAAGGCACAAAGAGGCTTGCAAAAAGATCGATTCGTTCATAGGTTTTTGCATGATTTTGGGGATGCCCTGTTCTTCGTTCGTCTGGGCGTCCGGTACTGCCTGAGAGGCTCGAAACTCACCCCAAAACCATCCGAAAGGGCTTCCAGGCAGTCCAAGAGAGACCCAAGACGGCATAGGGTTCCAATATGGCCTAAGAGAGCCCCATGACGGCCCAAGATGGCCCCAAGACAACAGATAACCTCCGACGGATTCCAAATCGTGACTCGGTCGTTCAGGGAGACCGCGGTTGGAGGCAGGATGGCCCGAGAGAGCCTCCAGAGGCCCCCAGAGGCCCCCAGACGACGCCCAGGAGGCCTCCAGCAGGCCTCAAGAAAGCCTGAGCAACTTCCGTGAGGCCCCCAGAGGATCTCCAAGAAGGAGCCGCCGCAAAAAGAGTTGAGGAGGATAGGGAAAGATAACAATTCGCAGGGTAGGGCGAGAACGAGGTAAAAGAAACATGGAGGCAGGATAACGATTAACAATATTATAACGGCGATGCCGGACAAATCAACAAGGAGTTATCGCTAAGTTGTGTGTTTGACCTTCCTGCCATTCCGCCTGCATGCCAAACTTCAAGGACCAAGGTGCATGGCGCGAAGCGCTAATGTGGTTTTGTGTGTATGCATGTAGCTATGTATATAGATACACACGTATACAAAACACACACACATACATATGTGTATCTCTGTATGTATAGATATACACACATGTGTGCGCGCCCTCTTTGGCCGTCGTAGGCCCGGCCAGGCCTATGGGACCCATCTGCCCCCCCTCCTCTTCCTCCTCCTCCTCCCCCTCCTCCTCCTCCTCCTCCTCCTTCTTCTCCTCCTCCTCCTTCTCCTCCTCCTCCTCCTCCTCCTCCTCCTCCTCCCCGCCCCCCCCGCCCCATTTCCAAATGTCAATCCGCGGCCCCAGGGCTCCCGATATCCCCCTCCCTGGGGAACAGCTGAGCGTCCTGGTTTTCTGTTTTCAATCGTCCCTGGGCCCGATACCCTTCGGGGGTCCCCAAGCGGTATGGTTCAAGCAGTGGCGACGCGTCCTGGCTCTCCTATAGGCCCTTCCAAATAATGTGCTAATGACCTTTTGTGGTCTGCGCGAAATGTTCTTGGAGCATTTCTGGCTGAGACTGTATTATTTGCACAGTTCGGGTTTATGTTCTAAGAACATTGCTTATGTTCTTAGAACCGTTTTTGGTTCTAGGAATATTTCGTGGTAGGCCTGTAGGAATGCCGGGACGGTCGGCCCCTGCTCAGTGGTGAACACACCTTGTGGTGAGCCAGTGGGGATTCGGGGTCACCGCACGGTTTTGGGACCCGGGTCATTCTTTGAGGATGTGTCGGGCGATTGTTGCTTCTGGAGCTCCCAAACTCGTGCGCTGACGCGGCGAGGTCCTTCGGGATTTCGAGGTCACCGCGCGGTCTCCACACGGTTTCGAGACCGCCAAATTTCTGGCCCCGGGGAGACCGAGATGGAGGACCAACGCCTGGCTTGATGAAATCAGGTCGTCGGAGATTTGAGACTGCTCGTTGGGCCCCACCACCTCGCCGCCCCACTGCCAAACGCACGCACCACCCCGCAATTGCGGATGAGAGTGAGCTGGCGGGCGCGGTGTAGGTCGCGGGTGGGTCGCGGGTTGGGTCGCGGGTTGGGTCGCGGGTTGGGTCGCGGGGTGGGTCGCGGGGTGGGTCGCGCGCTGGGTAGCGGGAAGGGTCGCGGGTTGGGTTGCGGGTGGGTCGCGGGGTGGGTCCGCGCTGGAAGACAGCAACAGACAACAGGCAGGCAGAAGTTGGCCACGGACTCCCACTTCGCCCGCGCGCCCAGGGATGGTGTAAGCCCTCTCGGGCCCCACTGCTCTAGTGTATGGGCGCGGGCCGAGACACCGGTCGGCCGAGAAGTCGGTCGATTGGGAAGGGGGTGCTGTGACCAGCGCTTCTGGCGATCGCGCCGATGTCGGCCAGATTTGGAACCCCAGATCCCAGTGGTCCCCGCGATCACCTCTGCGAGCAGTGCCGACGTGGAGAATTCATGCCCTCGCACATCTTTGCATATCGATGTGTACATACATGTATGGATGCACTCATGTATATATATATGCATATATATATGTATATATAAGTGTATCTGCATGTGTAACTATAGTTATATGCAGGTGCGTGTATACATATGTATGTATACATGCATACATACATGCATACATACATACGTATATACGTGTATATGTGTGTAGCTCCATACAGATATGTTGCCCCCCCCGCAGTTGCTAATCAGAGTAATGGGTGTGTGGATCGTCGTCAGTCTGCGAATCTCAGAAGAAAATTGATAAAGCCCGCCGCAGGAACTGATTTTCACACACAACGCATTGAGCCCGCCGCAGCCGCCGATTTGTAGTCAACGCTATGTGGGTGGGTTGCGGGGTGGTCGCGGGTGGGTCGCGGGGTGGGTCGCGGATGGGTCGCGCGCTGGGTCGCGGGGTGGGTCGCTGGTAGGTCGCGGGGTGGGTCGCAGGTGGGTCGCGCGCTGGGTCGCGGGGTGGGTCGCAGGCGGGCTGCGGGTGGGTCGCGGCTGGGTCGCGGGGTGGGTCGCGGGTGGGTCGCGCGCTGGGTCCCGGGATTGGTCGCGGGGTGGGTCGCGGGGTGGTCGCGCGCTTGGTCGCGGGGTGGGTCGCAGGTGGGTCGCGGGTGGGTCGCGGGGAACGACGATAACAACAACAACAACAACAATTACTAGCACGTGGGGACACTCCGTTCTCACCAGTGCCAGGGTTTTCATAGGAGGCGGGCAATACCCCCCACTTTGTGGGGGGGCCGGTTCAAGCTCTACCAAATTTCCAAACGACTCTTCGCCACCACCCACACCCAGCTTCCCGCCCTATGACGTTCGGACACTTCACTTCGTGGCATGCGGACGACCGTGGCTACTATTCAGGGCCCCGCGGCCGACGACGACGGCGTGCGCGCGCGAAGAAAAAACGAATGTGTCCCGCATGGTATTATTTGACAGGGATGATGGCCCTGGCAGGTGCGCAACCGTTGCTGCAGAAGTTCGAAAAAGTTGCTCGCAAAAGCCCGTTTGACAGAAATGTTTAAAAAGTGTTGGGTTTCCTACGAATCCGCAAGAGCGCGCGGGATGAAATTTTGACAATTTTTTTTTGAAAAACCATTGGTTTTTTGATGTTTTAATGTTAAAATCGCTACGAAAACTAAGGTTTTGGAAGGATTCCGTCTTGCGCGCGCGAATGTCCACTTTACTTTATTTTTTGCAAGGGATTCTTGAAGTTTGGTTATGTTAGAACAAGAAATGTCCACTTTAGCTTATTTCTTGCAAGGGAAAACCGATCGTAACAACACAACCGGATCTGGTACACATCGTTTTACCGGAGACTTCCTCACGAAAATGATGAAAATGTGGTTGCGGCCTAGGCGCGGCGGGGGGGTCGTGCACCAGGGGCCCCAACAATAATTATTCTTAAGAAGTAATAATGTTCAACAACAACAACAAAACAACACGAATCCGCTTCGGGGGGGTCCCTCGTTGCACCCATGCACCCAGGGATGGTCGAAGACCGCTTACCCCCCTCATTCTAATGTGCAGATTTGCGTGTATCAATACATTTTCATGTCTACTCGAGTATGGACACGTGGATGAAACCCGCGGAGCTGAGCGGATCGAGGTTTGGTGGCGCGCGCTGGATGTCCGTGGCTGTCCGCTGGTGCCGTAGATCCTTCGAAGGTTTTCCAGTTCCCCCACTGAAAACGCCCAATGCTCTGATGTGGGTGTGGGGGCCGAAGTGCTCGAGCGCCGCGAAGGCAAGAAGTTCCAGAGCCCAGGCTGGAGGAGCTTTTGAAGATTTGCGCCGGGGATCGTGGCGGGCGCGGGAGCGGGTCGGAGCAAACGTAGCGCCGTCTCGGGCCGCGTCGGGGGCATCGGCTCTGCCACACGCGTGCAGCGAGGCCTGGGGGGTAAGAGATGCTAGGCAGAGCCCGGCATGGCGGGAGGGCGCGTTCCTGGCGCGCGCGCGCGTTATACCGCGACGGGCAGCGGGTCGGCCAGCCGCTTGGGCGCACAGGCCGCAGCAAGCAGGGCCTTCTCCGCGACGGGGGAGGTGGCGGGCGGGGTGCGCGGCTGTTGTCGCGGCGAGCCCCGTGGCGCGGCAGGCGCGGCATCCCCTCGACGACCGAAGGCGGCGGGGCGCACGGTCGGAGGCGGGGGGCGGCGACGGCTGCGCGCGGCGGCGGCGGCGATGGAGCGTCGCGCGTCGTCATCATCGCCGTCGCCGTCGCCGTCCTCGTCGTCGTCGTCGTCGTCGTCGCCCAGAAGAGAGGCTTCCGGGGCCACCGAAACATAATTCCTTGGGGGGTCGGCCGCGAGGGGCATCTCGCCCTTCGTCCGCCCCCTCTGTTGGAGGCAGCTTGAAAGCCAGCAGAGGGCCGTGAGGGAGACCCCAAGGTGCGTTTTTGGACCTCTCGGGGGCCTTTCGGGGCTCTTCTGGGCCGTGTAGGGCGCCCCTTGGGCCTCCGTCTTCGCCTTGGGGCCATCCTGGGCTATCTTGGGCCCCTCTTCGGGTCCGCCTCGGCGCCTCTTGGGCAGTGTAGGAACAGTCTGGCACCATCTTGGGGCCCTATTGCAAGACAGCAAATCTGCTGAACATGTCAGTTTTCCTTGAAAGGGTGTTTTACGATTTGTGCTTGATGCAGCTCTCTTGAAGATCCCCTTGGAGCCCTCTGGAGGCGTGTTGGAGGCTTTTCGGGCGCCGATTGGATGTTTGCAGCCGTCTTTGGCCGTTTGGGGGGCCCTCTTCAGGGGCTGAATGCGATACTTTGGGCCTCTGGGCCGCTGTGGGGCCGCGCGAATGATTCGGGGAACCGTCTTTGGCCGTTTGGGGGGCATCTCGGGGCCACTATGGGACCGCTTTGGCGCTTAGGGGACGCCCCCTACCAAAAAAAACTGTAAGGCGTAATCCAGAGTTCTTCCATATGCGTATACATGTACACATGTATGTATATACAAATATAAGTATATAGTGAGAGAGGGAGAGAAACAACCTGAACACAACCAAGCAGGTGACACACATGCACACACATACACATATACACATGTGTATAAATAGATGTATATATATATATGTATATGTACATATATACACGTGTATATGTATATGTATATAGATATATTGATACACGTGCAGGTGTGTATATATGTATAAATTCACAAGATCGCGCTCATTGCGAGAGAGGCGAGGGGAGTGGGAGATGCCTCCCGACGCCAGTGCCCCCAGGAGGGCCAGCGGCATTTCTGCTCGACGCGCTGAATGATTTCCCAGCATTCCCGGACATCGCTCAGGATGCATGGCGAAGGTGCGTTTGCGATTGGAGCGTCCGCAACGTGATCTTGGCTTCTCGGCGTGGTTTTGGGTCCCTTGCAGCGGAGCTCCGGAGCCATCTCACTGCCCAGCTCGGCGGTGCGCTTAGCGAAGAGAGTTGGGTCCCTAGCAACGAGCTTCGGAGCCGTCTTGCCGAACTTGGCGACCTTGCCGATATGAAGCAGTTGTTCGAAGAAATGTTGGGTGTTCCAGTGCTTCTGGAGGTCGCCAAAGAGTTCGGGCCAGTTGAAGTCTTGCGCGAGGTCCATGCCATCTGCGCCAGTGTCTACGCCGCTGCGGTCACGACGGTGCCTTCGACCTTTCCGCCGTTGGGGATAATGGTGGACGAATTAGATTATCATCTAGCGGATTCGGTGAGCCAAGAAACCAGGTCCAATCGCTTCAGCGCGGTGCGAGATGTTCTCGAGGCCGCCCCGAAGGCTCTGCTGGACGAGCTGGAGGCTTCCGAGAGCAGGTGCAGGGACAGATCGCCCAAGCGCCAGCGCACCGAATGATGTCCTCCGAGCTTCCCCTCGTCGTCCTGAGCTCAGTGTCTGCTGATCACACGATCGGCGATCACAGATCTCAGTGATCGGGGCATAGCGCGATCGCCGATCGCGTGATCGGTGCGGCTTGATCACGCGATCGCGCGAGCTCGAATGCGTGATCGATCCGTGATCGGCGCGGTGGCAATCCTGACCAGGGCTGCGATCGGACCACGTGGTCGGGTGGCGTGATTGGCGGGGTGATCTGCCAGACGCTACAGTAAAGTTCTTAACTTAGCTGCCCTGATACGCCCATTTTGAATCGCAGTACATACCGTGTTCGGAGCCTCCGTGTTGGCGTGTTGGCACGTTGCGCGTTGGCTCACCGTGCTGGCTCACGTTTCGGCGAACGTATCGCGCCCGACCTGCGCAATCAGTTTACGTGTGGAGCCCCGTGTCCACACGTTTTGGGTTGCGTGTTGCGCATCGGGGCAGCCGAGGTCCTGATCCATCTCCGCCCTCCCCCCCCTTCTTGGGCGCCCGAGTTATCCGGGGTAACTCGGGTCCGGGGTAACTCGGGTTTGGATTCCCGGAAAAGGAACCCGAGTTAGCCCTGACCCGAGTTACCCTTGATGATGAGGGGCTCTGGACGCCCGAATTATCCGGGGTAACTCGGGTCCGGGGTAAGTCGGGTTCAGACTCCCGAAAAAAGGAACCCGAGTTAACCATGACCCGAGCTACCCCTGATGATTCGGGGCTCTGACCTCCCGAGGCCGGGGCGAACCTCGCAGGGGAGGCGCACGTGGCCGATCTCGCAGCACCCGCCGCGGTTTCTGTCGAGCGGCGGGGGGCCCGGCGATGCCGCGCAGTGTGCCGACTGGGCCCTCCTCCTCCCCCTCCTCCTCCTCCTCCCTCATCTTCCTCCTCCCTCATCTTCCTCCTCATCATCATCATCCTCCTCTCTCTCCTCCTCCTCCTCCTCCTCCTCCTCCTCCTCCTCCTCCTCCTCCTCCTCCTTTTCCTCCTCCTCATCATCCTCATCCTCCTCTTTCTCCTCTCCTCCTCCTCCTCCTTTTCCTCCTCCTCCTCCTCCTCCCTCCTCCTCCTCCCTCCTCCTCCTCCTCCTCCTCCTCCGCCTATTGCTCCTCCTCCTCCTCCCTCCTCCTCCTCCTCCTCCTCCTCCTCCTCCTCCTCCTCCTCCTCCCCCTCCTCCATGATATTTCCCCCGATGTCATGGCGCCTCTTCGTATTTCGATGCGTCCCTGAACCCCCCCCCTGGGCCGCGCACACGCCGCTGGACATGATTCGCACCCCCCCTGCTCTTGGACGCCACCCTCTTGGACGCCCCCCGATAACTGTGGGGGGCGATGCATAGTTTTTTTTTCGGGGGGAAAGGGCCACTCTCCGGGCCCTACAGGCCCCCGCTTGGGCCCGAGCAGGGCTCCTCTCTTGAGTAGCCCGAGCAGGGCGCCTTTCCTGCAGGTCCTCGCTGCCCCGCCAGCCATCGCCCCCCGCGAAGCGACGCCCGAGCCGAAGCCGGGCAGCTGTCCACTGGGAGGGAAACAAAAAGTGGCATGGACATAAAAACTCGGAGGTCCGCGCGGATTTCTCGGATCGGCGCTGGACCCCCCTGGCGGCGCCTCCGGCGCCGCCCCTGGCGCGCTCCGCGCGCCAGGGAGGGGGGTCCAGCGCCGATCCGAGAAATCCGCGCGGACCTCCGAGTTTTTATGTTTATGCCACTTGTTGTTCCCCTACACGGGGAGGGGGCAGGGGCAGGCCGGGCCGCCTCTGCGAGCCGGTGCGATGCGACTCGCTTCTCGGGCCGTGGCCGCGGTGCCGATGCGCTTCGACCCGCTTCGGTCCACCGCTCCGCTGCCCCGGCGCGCGCGCCTGGGAGCGCAGCGCGTGCCGTGCTCGAAACGTCCGTGGCAGCACGCTGCGTGCTGGCGGGGCGCGTGTTGGCCCACGCTTTGGCGAGCGTGTCGCGCCCCAAACGCACGTTTGTTCGGTCCGCGCGTGGACTTGGCATCGCTCGGACGTGTGCATTTTTCCTTCGGCGAGGACCATCGAGGAGCATCCTTGATCATGTGGCGAAACAGCCACGCGCGGAACCGAAAAATGCACAGGGAATGGACGTCCGAGCGATGGCCAGGTTGAGCTCCGTGGCAGCACGGGCTGCGTGCTGCGCATCGGGGCGGCCGAGGCCCGCGGGCGTCGGCGACGGGCCGGCCGGAGCTGTGGCGCGGCGGCCCGAGCGCGATGTGTGCGACTGCGGGGCGAGGCGTCGGCGATCCGAGGCGCCTCCGACCCGAGCCGCTCGTGCGGCTCGATGCAGCGCAGGCCTTTTTGTTGAACGAAGGATTGCAAAAAAAACCCTAGGATTGCAAACAAAAAAACCCTTCGAAGGGTTTTTGTTGCAACCCTTCGAAGGGTTGTTTTGCAATCTTTCGTGCAGGGGCAGGGAGTTGGTTGGCTGGTGCCCTGAGCGCGGTAGACGGGCTGCTCACGCGCGGCGCGGGCAGCGCCAGGCCTGCCAGCATTCTCCCCGGGCCTCTCGCACTCGGGATGGCGCTGGCGCGCTCCTTGGCTCGCAGGGCCCTCCTCCTCCTCCTCCTCCTCCTCCTCCTCCTCCTCCTCCTCCTCCTCCTCCTCCTCCCTCTGGCTCCTCTCTCCCTTCATCCGGCTACCCTCGTACCTACGTCGTGCGTTGGCGTAGGATGGAGTCGAGACCGGGCGAGGATCCCTGCCGGAGGGCCGCTGATGCCCCCTCCCCAGGAAGACCCACATCTAGCGTTTGCATTCCGGCTTTGGGCGTGGCACCTCCACGGAGGGAGCCTGGGAAGCTGAGGGAAGTTTGGGCACGGTGGCACGCAAGTCCTCGTACCCTCCCCCATCTCTCCCAGGGCTGCTTCCCGAGAGTGGTCGCATCCATCCCTGGGCTGGCGTTGAGGGGTTGCTGTCGGTCGCCAGTTGGGCCCCGCAGCTCTCCACTAAGGGGCTGAGCCCGCAGTCCCAACATGCCACCTCGCTGGGAGGTCACCAACCAACCAGCCAACCTCCTCCTCCTCCTCCTCCTCCTCCTCCTCCTCCTCCTCCTCCTCCTCCTCCTCTTCCTCCTATTCCTCCTCCTCCTCCTCCTCCTCTTCCTCCTATTCCTCCTCCTCATCCTCCTCATCTTCCTCCTTCTCCTCCTCCTCCTCCTCCTCCTCCTCCTCCTGCTACTGTCGGAGACGACGACGCGGGCTGACGCGGCCTGGAACTATGGCTCAGCGCGTCGCGCCGCCGGTGCTGGCCCACCAGGCCTTGGCGCGGCGCGCCGAGGCACGCCTCGGCGCCGCGCCCGGGGGGGAAGCGAGGAGGGGCGGGCCTCCTGAGCAGCCCCGACGTCTGGTGGAGAAGGAGGAGGAGGAGGAGGAGGAGGAGGAGGAGGAGAAGGAGGAGGTGGGGGAGGTGGGGGAGGAGCGGGAGGAGGAGGAGGAGGAGGAGGAGGAGGAGGAGGAGGAGGACGAGGAGGAGGAGAAGGTTTCCGAAGCCCTCCCCGGAGGCGCGGACAGCTGCCCCCCGAGGGCGCGAGAGCTCCTCAGCCAGCCCGCCGCCCTCCGAGGAGGCCTCCTCCTCCTCGCTTCCCCGCCTCGCCCGCCGCCGGACGCCCCACGCCCTGGATCTGGACGCCCGACATGGGCACGGAAAGAATGGGTACAATGCCCAACAGCAGTTCCTGTCCATTTTGAACAGGACTCGCTGTCCGCGCCGCCGCGGCCTGTGCCCATTTGAGACAGAGGGCCGCCTGCCCAACAGCGGCCGCTGCTGGTTTGGGACAACATTTGTTGTTGGGCATTGTACCCTTCCTTTCGGTACCCATTTCGGGTGTCCAAATCGGGGCCCCGACGCCCCCGGCGGAGCGGAGCGGCACGCCGCCCGACCGCCAGGGGCACCACGTCGTGCGCGGGGGGGCCGCCCCCGCGCGCCAGAGCCATGGGGCAGAGAACGCTGCGGGGCCGTGGCGCCCCGGGGCGGGCACTGCGCGCGCAGCCTTCAGGGGGGGGGCCTCGCCGAAGGCATGGGCCATCGATGTCCCTGGATCTTAGTTGCCTCGATGCGCCCGTTTTGAAACGCAACACGTCCCGTGTTCAAGACGTCCGCGTCAATACGTTGCTTGTTGGCTCCACGTGTCGGCCCACGTTTTGGCGAGCGGATCGCGTCGGACATACGTTTTCAGTCCACGTATTGAGCTCCGTATCAATACGCTGCGTGTCGCGTGTTGCGTATCGGGGCAGCTAAGCCCTGGATACGTGTACGGTCGGGCCGAGGTCTCAGATCGAGGTCGGCTCGGGGAGGGTACTCCCATGTTTGTCGGATGCTCTCGTGCATCCCGGGGGGGTTCCCCTCGAGCGCTCTGCGGTTTGGCCGGCGGAGGCGCCGCCAGGGGACTCCAGCGGCGACCCAAGATGTCCGTGCGGATCTTCGAAAGTCGTCTTGGCCCATCTTGGCGCCGTCGTAGGGCTCCTTGGAAGGTCCGTCCAAGTTTTTTTCACGCACGCGGTGCGCCTGTAGGTAGTGTAGAGGTTGCGTCGGGCCTGATCTTTGCCCCCCGCATCTCGCCGAGCAGCGACAGAGCCTGCTGCCACTGCCTGCCTTACGCGCACACGCTGATCCCAGCGTTGTAGCCGACTAGTGCGAATCCGTGTGCTACGGAAGACTCAAGTTCGCTAGACCTCGGTTTTGCCGCTTGTCGTCTTTACGAGCCCTTTCTGGATTTTGACGGTCCAGTTTTCGCGGGATGTCTTCAGCGGGAGCTCGCGTCAAATTTCAGAGTGGGTCTCGTCATTGTCTTGACGGCCTCGCCAGGCCAACCCGAGTCCCCCGAACCCGAGTCTTACGACGCCCGGAATGGGCACTTTGGTCAGGAAATTTGCGATGGCTGGATCGCCTCCACGACGACGACGACGACGACGACGGCGACGACGGCGACGACGATGACGACGACGGCGACGACGATGACGACGACGACGACGGCGACGACGACGTCG